AAGGGGCGGAGTTGGGCGGGGCCGGGGGTGGGGAAAGGGGTTGGAATGGGGGCAGGGAAGGGGCGGAGTTGGGCGGGGCCGGGGGTGGGGAAAGGGGTGGGACCGGGGGAGGGGAAGGGGCGGAGTTGGGGCGGGGCCGGGGCCCCATGGAGTGTCCTCTTTTTTCAATGTTCAAATATGGTAACCCTAGATACAAACAAGTTACATATTGCCCCTCTGATGTGGTTAGTTACCACACTTTACCTGTTGGTTTTCTCAAAACATCTCTATCCTTCACCCTATCATCCTGACCTTGTCTTTAGGAAGAGTCAGTGTGTTCCTGTATCATCTTCAGGGAGTGTGTTTAACTTGTATTGGGGGTGTTTACCTTGTATTAGGATGTTCTGGCATCATCCTTCTGGAATGTGTTTGCGTGAAAAATTAGTGCGTAGGATTGCTTGTTGTTTTTTTTTTTTTTTTTTGCCATGCCAGCCCTGGTTTGGCAAGTTCATGTATTGGACAGTGAACCTGCAAGCAAGCAGGCATCTGCTTAGTAACAGGGCCTGACTTTTGGTCATAGCCTGATTCTTGCTAACTTTACTTTAACTCAGAAGGGCCTGATTTAAATTCGGGCCTTAGGTCTTACACCAGGATCCTTATAGCAGGCCTCATGTCTCAGGATCTCTCTTCTGATAATACCCTCTATGTCCATCCACCCCTTCACTCTATCCCTCCCTCCCTCCCCATCCACAACCTTCTATCAATTCATCCTGCCATCCATCTCTCCCTCTCTCCCTACACATATGGAAGTCTCTATCCCTCCCTCCCTCCTCACACACCCTCTCCATCCATCCATCCATCCCGTGACAGTGTACCCATGGCTGTAGTATCTCAGGTCTGTTCATGCCTTCACCTCTGCCATGTTTGCCTGTTAATTTCACTCCATCTTCTGTCTGCCAGAATCAATGGAGTCTAGTGATATTCAGCTTTTGTCAGTGTATTCCTTCCAGGGCTTTTAGAACTGGCCACCACCATCATAGACAGCCAGGCTGGCATGTGCAAAGCCACTTCTAGGAGTGAGGTGTCTAAATCCCATTGACTTTCAGTGGGTGTTCGGCCCCTAACACCCTGGAATCCCTTTTACAATACAATACCCAGTCCATCCTGTCAAGTGCTGGGGCTCAATCCCATGGAAGCTCAGCACCCAGCATCTCCCAGTCATGACTCCCACCACAGTAGCACCAAGCAAGGGTGAGAGCTAAGACTCTGTTGTTAGCTACTCAACCATCTCCCCCAGATTCACTCTAGATGTGCGCGGTACCCAGCAGTGCACAGGTGCCAGGGGGACTGGGGGGGTCCCAGTTAGAAGTGTCCCCAGCTGTGCCTGGCCCCAGAATGGGTAGACCCCAGCTGGGCAGGGCTCCAGGGTCTCAGCTGTGGGGGGCATGACCTAGTTGGCCCGGATATTCCCCCCGCCCAGGAACAAAGATGGCCAAGGACCACCTGGAGGGTGGAAACATCACACTGAAGCGTCCCCCTCCACCCCCATCTCTTCTCCAACCCAGGCGCCTGGAAGAAGAGGCCAACAAAGTCAGTTCAGTGGATGTTTTAGCCCTAGCCACATGCCGCAACAGGCATGTGCACAGACCGGGGTGTGGGGGGGGTCTCAATGCAAGCTGCATCGGAGTCAGCTCTGTCCCATATGTGCACACTGCTCCAGACTCTGGAGGGCGAGTAGCCACAGAGGAACCTTCTTCCAGCTCCTTCACCGGGACACAAGGAGAGAGATGGGTGGCGTTGCTTTGCAAGTCAGCAGGCAAGCGAGTCTGTGAGCCTGCAACTGGTGAAGGCCCCAGCCAGACACAGGAGCCTTCCTGTTGCAGAGAGACGCTAAGATGAGGCTGAGTTGACCACAGCACAGGCCTCAACTGGGCCCTTCCTCTTAGCAGCTGAGCCACCTCCCCCCGCTCAGCAGGGTTCAGGGCACTGCACAGTGTGAGCACAGCCCTACGATGCCCATGGCTCCACCAGAATGGACTCACGGGCTGAGAGGTCTCAGATGGCAACTCCCCTTTTCCACCCTCCCCCCCGGCAGCTGATGTGTGTGGGGGTATCAAGTGCTGAGATGGGAGAGCCCTCACCCACATCCCGGAGCACAGGGCCCTGAGGTTTCCTGCCTTGGATTCCCGGTGCCAAGCCAAACGTGTAACCCGTCGCCCAGGCAGATGCCCCCTCCCCAGCTGTGCCCTGACAATGCTGCTCATACTCCTGCTCCCCAGGGCTCAGGCTAGTGATTTGGATAGCATAGTGGCCCCAGTGTGCATAGCCCCTGGGGGTTCAGGGCCCCAAATATGCATGGCACCTGGACTATAGCACCCCAGATATGCATAGGCCCAGGGGTGCAGGGCCCAAGAAGTACATAACCTCAGGGGGTGCATGACCCCACAAGTGCATAGCCTCCAGGGGTGCAGGGCCCCAGATGTGAATAGTCCTGGGGCTAAGGGGGCCCAGATGTGCACAGTCCAGGGGTACAGGAAGCCACAGCTGCACAGCCTCATGGGGTGCAGTGCCCCACATGTGCTCAGCCCCCCATATCTGCTCAATCCCCAGGGTGTGCAGCGCCCCAGAGCTGCAGTCTCCAGGGGTACAGTGCTTCAGATGTACAAAGCCCCAGGGGGTGCAATTCTCCATAATGCACATCCCCATAGGCTCTAGGGCCCCAGATGTGCGCAGCCCCAAATGTTTGCTTTCTGCTAGCTCTGCAGGGTGGCCGGTCACTGCCTTACCCTATGTATGAACTCCTCTCTGGCAGGATCCAGGGGCTGTGGTTTACCCTGAGCCAAGCATCACCAGTCCTATAAATGACCCCAGAGACAGACACATCATCTCATTCCCCAGACGCCCTCTGACGATGCTGCTGCTGCTCCTGTTTCCCATGGTCTTTCCCCTGCCCCCCGGGGCTCAGGCTGGTGAGTACAGGAGGGGATAGACCCCTCTGGCCTCAGAGGGAGTAGAGCCTGGCACTACTGGAGCTGTCTGCATGGCTCCTTGCCAGAGTCAGATGCTTCCACCAAGGCCATTGGTGTGTCCCCAGACCCACTGGAGTGCTGTGGGACTCCAGGGCCTATCGGTGTTTGCCCAGGACCCAACTAGGGAGCCTCATGTCCGTGGGACCTGGAGGAAGTTATCAGTGTGTGTGTGCCCAGAACAAAGCTGAGGTGCCCCCGAGCCTTGGAGTCTGGGAGCATCAGTGTGTGCCCAGGACCCAGCTGCGGAGGCATAGGGTCTGGGGCCAGGTGGGCAGGGACCTAAAGGGGCAAGGGGAGAGGAGGGGGTTGATGCTACCATAATAAATCCCCTGAGAGGGAGGCAACACACAGAAATTCAATAAGCTGCTGATGTAAACGGCCAGCTCCTAGACAGGAAATGCAGGTCTGTACAGCCTGTGTGGTTAGAGCAGGGGAGGGAGGCTAGAAGCCAGGACTCCTTGGTTCATTTTCCAATTCTACCAAACTCTGGTCTCAGACTGAGTCTGTTCAGTGCCTAGAACAATGTAGGCCCTGATCTCGGTTAGCAGAGGGATACACCAGCTGGATGGATCGGAGACCTGAATTAACTCCTTCTCTTGGCACCTCTGCCAGGGGAGATCATTGGAGGACAGGAAGTCCGGCCTCACTCCAGACCCTACATGGCCTTTGTGAAAATAGAGAGAAAAGGAAAGGGAGGAAACATGTGTGGAGGGTTCCTGATCCGGGAGGACGTGGTGGTGACAGCAGATCATTGTAACTGCAACCTTGGGTAAGAAATGCAAGATCCCTGCCCCTTAGCCAGCCATTCTCCTAAGCTGGGGCCAGCTGAAATCTACTCCCCACCCAGCAGGGGAAAGGCCCTGGAGTGCTGGCATGATCTACACACACCCACTTTAATGAGGTTAATGACCTATGACTGAATCCAGAGTATTGGCCTGTCTGCATCCCCTGCATCCCCTTGTATTTCACAGCAACATCTCTGTGCTCCTGGTAGCTCACAACTTTGAAATAGATGAACTGGGGACACAGACAATCTGGGTACGTCGCCGAATCTCCCACCCAGATATCAATGATGAAACATTTGAAAATGACATCATGCTGCTTCAGGTACTGCCCTCATCTCACCCCCCAGTTCCCAGTGACCTCACACTGCTGCAGGTATCACCCCATCCCATCATCCCACTGTGACGGATTCCCCCTGGGGTGCTGCTTGGAACTGCGGTACCACTGAGCCCGCCTGACTGAAAACCTGGGCTCCCTTTACACTGTAATGGTGTGACAGGCTCTCAAATCCCCTCCAGCATATATACAGGTAGGGACACATGCAGCTGCAGCTTCACAACGATGTTGTGATCAGCACTGCATGGGAAGGCTCATCTAAGTAACTGACCAGTACTCAGGTGAAGACTAAACCCAAAATTGTACCATCTTGTGCTGCACAGAGAACTATACAGCGTAAGCTCATGAAATTCATCCCCTCCCTCAATGTGGAGAGGGACATGCACAGCTTTCTGCCCCACTATATAATTTCCATATACACACTGGGTTAGACAAAACAAAACAAGTTTATTAACTACAAAAGATAGATTTTATGTGATTATAGGGGATAGTAAACAGATCAGAGTAGATTACCTAGCAAATAAGACAAATATGCAATCTAAGCTTAATATACTACACTGCTTACAAGTAGCAAATTCCCACCCTAAATGTTGTTTGAGGCAGATTTCAGATATTCTTGAAGGCCAGTTGTATTTGCCTGCAGCTTAAATGTTCAGATATTTTATTCACAGGAAAGACAGCCTTTCAGCCTGAGCTCAGTCCTTCTGCCCTCATTCAGTCCTTGTTTCTTAGATGTTTACAGTAGTCATCCTGGACGGGGATTCAGTGAAGAACGAACCATGATTATGTCACTCCCTTGCCATAAATAGGTTTTACATATGGCAGGATTTTTTTGTCTTCCAGTGTGATTCCCACCCCTGGACAGTGGGAAAATACTGATATTCTCATGAAGTCCAGTACCAGGTGGCTTGATCACATGAACCTGCAGCCATAACCTAAAGGCTGTTTGCAGTGTTCCCAGGAAGGCTTGCCTAGGAAGACTTCCTGGTGAGAGATTACTTTCTTCTAAGACCTATTGTTCTTCCTAATGGCCCTTACCAGACAGCAATCTAGAATGATTGCATTCTGTCTAGTATTGTATTCCCCAGGTGTAAACACATTTGTAATAGGTGCATAGACAATATTCCTAACTTCAGATACAAAAATGATACATACATATAAATATGATAATCATGTTCAGTCAATCATAACCTTTCCAATGATATCTCACATGCCTTATCTTGCACAAAATATATCACAATTGTGTGATACTCATATCCTAACATTACTATGAAGAATATGGGTGTCATGGGCTCAGTCACAGAGATCCCCTTGGGCCTCTCACCTGATGTGCTGAAACTACCTCTGAGCCCATTTTTCCTGCCAGCCTGGGCCTCCAGAACCCTGCCTGGTTGAGCCTGCTGCAACACAGACACAGAGTCCGGGCCACAACCCCAAAGCTGCAGAACTTAACTGAAAACAGCTCAGCGGGTTACCTGTCTCCAGCACTCAGACACCTAGTTCCCAATGGGATCCAGACTGGAAATAAATCAATTTTACTCTGTATAAAGTTTATAAAGGGTAAACTCATTAAATGTTCGGCCTCTGTATCACCGAAAGAGAGATATGCACAACTGTTTGTGCCCCACCCCCCAGGTAACAATTACTACACTGGGTTTATTAATAAACAAAAGTGATTTATTAAGTATAAAAAGTAGGATTTAAGTGGTTTTTAGCAATAACAGACAGAACAAAACACGCAAGGCTAAGATGAATACGCTAAGAAACCAGTTACAAATGATAACGTCTCACCCTAGATGTTACTTCAGGTAAAATCCTTCTCAGGTCAGTTGCCTTTCCTGACCTGGGTCCAGCCTGTTCTCATCCACCACTGTTGTTACAGTCCTTTTGTTTCCAGATGCTTGCAGGTATCTTTGTGGGGTGGGGAGGCCATCTTTTAAGCCAGCTGAAGAAACCTATTGTTTGCTTCCCCACTTTATATAGAACTTCCCTAAGGCGGGAAACCTTTGTTTGAAATCCCACCTCCCTCTGGAAAAGTACCAGATTCAAGATGGAATTCAGTATCAGGTCAGAGGGTCACATGTCACTGTAAGACCCCAGTCTCCATTCTTCCTGGGTTGGCCCACAGGTACACAGGAAGGCTTGCAGATAATCAGGGCCATTCACACCTCATTGTTTCTGAAGCACCCTTAATGACTTCCACTTAATATGTTTTCATCAGTAATACACGTTTATATCTTATTCTCCTAATTCCAGACATAGAAATAATACATGCAAACAAATAGGATGAACACACTCAGTGGATTATAAACTTTCCAATGATATCATACAAGGGGTATTTAGCATACAGCAGTTATGTCACATTCATAAGCATATTTTCGTAAAGCATATGGAGTGCAACATCACAATGGGGTGTAATGCCACCCCAACCTCCGTGAATTCACACTACTGCAGGTACCACTTTCATTCCACCCGCCCACCCCCACTGACCCCACACTGCAGCATGTAGCACTGCAGTCACATCACCCTTCCACCAGTGACCTCACGCTGCTGTAGGTCTCACTCTATCCCATCACCAAGCCCCCAGTAGGCACATGGCATCACAGATTTTCACAGTTCTCATGGGGATGTCCCACCTGGTCCCATCTAGCCCCATCCCCCCCCAGGACAGGATGCATCCTCCAAGAGGTGTTTGATTTCTCTTCTCTTTTTCCCCCATCACAGCTGAGGCACAAGGCCAAGCTGACTCAGGCTGTGGGCACCATCCCCCTGTCCCAGGAGATGGTGAAGAAGGGGGCAGTGTGCAGCGTGGCCGGCTGGGGACAGACCAGTATAAAAACAAATGCCCAGCCATCTCCGACCCTGCAGGAGGTGGAACTGACGGTCATGGGCAAGAACATGTTTCTGTCTCGGCCCTATCTGCACTATGTCCCGTCCAGGATGCTGTGCGTGGGGAAACCCCAGGAAAGGAAGTGGCCATTCCTGGTGAGTGTGGGACAGGGGCACACAGTGCCCAGGACAAGGTGCTGCTAGAACAGGAGACCAACAGGGCTGGGCAGAATGGGGAGATTCAGGATCCCTGGTGATCCAGACAGATCCTGGGAACCAGGAACCAGAATTAGCCAGATCCTAGGAATCAGGAATAGAGGCTAGAAATCAGGGACAAGAACCAGGCAGTTCTTTCAAATGAGGAATGGATGCTAATAATTTGGGACAGGAACTGACTAGATCACAGAAATCAGGGACAAGAATCATCCACATCCTGGAAATCAGGGATGGATCTTAGTAGTGAGGGAGAGATCCCAGAAATCAGGTTTGGAAATCAGCTGTATCCTAGGAATCAGAAAGGGGAATTGCTGAATCAAGAATCCAGGGGTGGATCTGAGAAATCAGCAGGAGATCCTAGAAATCAAGGGCAGGAGTCAGCCAGATGCTGGAAATCAGGATTCGGAATTAGGGACAGGAATTGAGCAGCTTAAAGAAATCAGGGATGGATGCTAGAAATCAGACACCAGAACTAGGCAGATCCTAGAATCAGGGACAGGGGTTGGTTGGGTCCCTGGATCGTGGGGTGGGAGCCCTGGGCATGTCCTGGGAGTGACTTGACTGTGAACCCCCAGGAAGTGGGGTACAGAGCTGGATTTCAGGACCGTGAAAACAGAATGCAGCCTGCCCTTTGCTTGGATATTGGTAACCCCGCGCCTGGTGTTTACTTCTCAGGGTGACTCCGGGGGCCCCCTGGTCTGTGATGGGAAGGCCCAGGGCATAGTCTCCCATGGCAGCGGTGACGGGTCAACTCCCAGTGTGTTTACCAGGCTCTCCAAATACGTGTGCTGGATCAAGAAAACGCTGCACAAGCGGAAGCCTTAGAGGGGAGTGTCCATCTCTAATGTGAGTGGAGAGACAGATGGGTATTGCAGAGCGATGGCTGGCTACTGCAGATGGATAGATGTGTAGCCAATGATTTTAGTTTATTGCTCATTTATTGTGTGATGTTATGATTAAACAACATGTTATGCCATATATAATCTTTCTGTGCTGATTAGAGTTGAATTGTAGGATTACAAAAATATAAGAATGATCAGTAGTTAGAAGGGATAGTTAGGTTTTAGGCTGAGGCCTGTAAGATAGTAACTTAGCCACACTAGGCCACACTAGGCCATAGGCTTAAGAAATGCTTGATATAAGTGACCGAAGAATGATCCCATGCCACAAGATAACGGGGAAAGATGTACCCATATGTGGTACTGTGAAAAATGAACAATAAGTGTAATTTTTTCCTTACAAGATCTCTGATAGTGAAATCTTTCTAACTCGTGCCCTAACTGCAGGGTGCACAATGTGCATAAAAGCTAATGAGGCATAGTTGGAATCACATTATAAAAAGAGGACGCCCAGATTAGGAAAATTGAGCTTCCTATTGGAAACACCAGCAGGAACCACCCCCTAGTGATGATCATTTGGCCAGGCAGAAATCAGACCTTTAGAATATCACTAAAGGATGTGAGTATAACTATATTTGTAACGTGTGCACAGGTCTTCATAGAATTTCCATATGCTTCGTTAATCATAACTTTAACTGTAACTTTAATAAAACTTGTAAAACAGACTGGGCCTTTTATGTGTGAAATATACATGTGGTCACAACCCTTTGTCCTTATGTGTTCCTAGAGACTCTAAATCTGAAGCAAGTAGCAGAGGTGACTTTCAGTCTGTGAGTTTGAAACTGTAGCCACTAGAGCCGAACCTACAGTGGTGTAATACCACACTACAAAATTCACTTTAAATAAAAGAAAAGGCAACAGATGGATGGATATTGCAGAAGGGTGGATGGAGAACTGGACAGATGGATATTGTGGATGGATTGCTAGACAAGGCAGATGAGAAGACTTAAGGATATTGCAGAAGGATGGACAGACAGAGGATGGATAGATACTGTGGAACAATGAATGGATGGATATGGCAGATGAGAAGATAGAAGGATGGATGGACGGATGGGCAATACAGAAGTATGGATGGATGGATGGATATTGCAGAAGGATGGCTGGATAGATGGATAGATGGATGGATGTATATTACAAGAGAACAGACAGATTGATATTGAAGAAAGATGGATGATCATGAACAGATACTGGAGAACGATGAATGGATGGACATAGTATATGAGAAGACAAATGGATATAGAAGAAGGATGTATGGAGTGATATTGCAGAGGAAAGGAGGACAGAAAGCTATTGATATTCCAAAGAAATGAACAGTTGAGCCTGCCGTGAGAGCTCCCTCCAGACAGAACTTAATCTTCTTATTTTCCGAGGCTACAGTGGCTGCCCTAGCCTTACAGATTCCATTCTATGTTTCTTCCCCACTGTCTTTTTTTAATTCATCTGGATGTCCTATGCTGACATCACACCGCCTCCATATCTCATCAAACTCTGTGGGGATTGGGAGAGAAGGGATAAGGGGGTTCCCTAGCTCGTAGCTTTCTGCCATGTTAGTTCATGATTCCTACAGAGGGCAGCTCATCTACTTACCAGATTAGCGGTTGGGGTCACCGGCATTGTCAGTTGTTGGCTGCTCGTGTGTTCTCTCTGTGTGCTGCACTGGCTCTGGCCAAGAGCCGGTACAGCAGACTTCTATCGAACCATCCAAGAAGACCCCAGACACAGTTCAGTGGCGAAGGAGCTTGGCTAGGTTTATTGCTGACAAAGCACAGTATTACTGCCCTATATGTGCTACAGGTACACTAACACATTTATGCCTGTGACAATGGGCTCGGCTCATTGAGGGGGGTGACACTCCACTGCCCCCAAAACCAGACAAAGACAATCCCTCTGTGACCACCCTTTTATACACTGGTACGAATAAGTTATGTATTGCCCCTCTGACGTGGTTAGTTACCCCCATTTACCGTGTCCCAGATGGTTCACTCAAAACATCTCTATCCATCGCCCTGTCATCCTGACCTTAACTTTAGGAGGAGTCAGTGTGTCCCTGTGTCACCTTCAGGGAGTGTGTTTACCTTGAATTAGAATGTTCTGGAACAGTCCTTCTGGAATATATTTATGTGATTACTTAGTGTCTAGGAGTGCTTGTGTTTTTGCAACACCAGCCCTGTGCTTGGCAAGTTCATGTATCGGAGAGTGAATATGGAAGCAGGCATCTGCTTTGTAACAGGGCCTGACCTTTGCTCATAGACTGACTCTTGCTAACTTTATCTTCTCTCAGCAGGGCCTGACTCTAGCTCAGGCCTTAGGCCTTCCACCCGACCTCTTATGGGAGGCCTCATGTCTCAGGATCTCTCTTTTGACTACACCTTCCATGTCCATCCACCCCGTCTATCTGTCCCTCCCTCCCTCCCTCCACATCCACACCCTTCTATCAATCTGTCCTGCCATCCTTCTCTCCCTATGCATATGCAAGTCTCCATCCCTTCCTTCCTCCCTCCCTTCATCCATCAATCCATTCCCTGACAATTTCAGAGTAACAGCCGTGTTAGTCTGAAATTCTATATGCATCCGAAGAAGTGGGCTGTAGTCCACGAAAGCTTATGCTCTAATAAATTTGTTAGTCTCTAAGGTGCCACAAGTACTCCTGTTCTTCTTTTTCCCTGACAATGTTACCCATTGCTATTGTATCTCAGCCCTGTTGGCACCTTCACCTCCACCATGTTTGCTTCTTAATTTCACTCCCTGTCCAATAGCTGTCGGCATCTATCAAGTTTAGTGACATTCAGCCTTCTTGGATATTTATTTCCTTCCAGGGCTTTTAGAAACGGCCACTGCTATTTCACACCGCCAGGCTGGAATGTTCAAAGCCACCTGCAGGAGTGAGGTATCAAAATCCCATTGACTTTCAGTGGGTGTTGGGCCCCTAACACCATGACCCCCCTTTACAATCCCCAGCCCATCCTGTCAAGTGCTGGGGCTCAATCCCATGGACGCTCAGCTCCCAGCATCTCCAAATGCGGGGCTATGGGGAGATTTTTACAATCACCGAACATGCAATGGGCCCCCTAGAATGTATGGCCAGGAGAAGGTACAGATTGGAGTCCACTCAGCCCCTCACCCAGTGCAATGGGAGCAGATCCTCATGGGACCCAGCCTCACAGTACACAGCTACCCTTCATCTGGGGGTGGGTGAGAAATGGATATGGGCGTTTCCCCTCTAGGGGGCAGCAGCCCCCATCCAGTCCCAGGGCCGGGGACTGGCTGGCTCAGGGGGGATGGGAGATGGGGCCTTTCCCCTCTAGGGGGCTCTGACTGCAAACCAGACCCAGGGCTGAGTACTGGCTGGTTCAAGTGGGTGGTGAATGGGACACGGGTCCTTTCCCTTCTAGGGGGAGCCAACTCCCATCCAAGACTGGCTGGCTCAGGGGGGTTGAGAATCAGATGCATTGTTCCTGCCTCCACCTGCAATATGGGGGTCTTTGGGAAGCCATGCTGTCAAAGACAGGGGGCTCTGGTCTCCTAGATCCATGTCCCTCCCCCCAGCTCACACCCATACGGAGGGGAAGGAGAGCCATTGAGAAGGCTCAAGGGATAAGCTGATCTGAGTCTTGGTCAAACCACGGCTCCCCCCAAAGTAGCACCAAGCCAGGGAGAGAGCTCAGACTCTGTTGTTAGCTGCTGAGCCACCTCCCCCATCTTTGCTCCAGATGAGTGCGGTGTCCAGATGTGCACAGCTGCCAGGTGTAGAGGGGGAGATCCCAGCTAGGTGTGTCCCCAGCTGTGCCTGGCACGAGAATGGGCAGCCCCCTGCTGGGCAGGGCTCCAGGGGCTCAGATGTGGGGACTGGTCTCCCCCCACTACATGGGTGTAGCGGGGGGAACAGAGGACGGCTGAGACCCACCTGGCAGGTGGAAACATCACACTGAGGTGTCCCCTGAACCCCCGTAACTCCCATCTCTGCTCCGACCCAGGTGCCTGAAGGAAGAGGCCAGTGAAGCCATCAGCGGATGTCTCAGCCCTACCACACACCTCATCTGGTGCATGAATGGAGTGAGCGGTGGGGGGTAGTGCAAGCTGCATCAGGGCTCAGCTCTACCCCAGATATGCACAGCTCCAGGCTGGGCCAGTGCCCAGATGTGTCCCAGCCCCAGGTGTGGAGGGCGCGTAGCAACAGAGGAACCTTCCTGCAGCTCCTTCACCTGGATGCCAGGGAGGAGGGGAGCAGCTTTGCTTTGCAAGACAGCAGGCAAAGGTATCTGTGAGCCTGCAGCTTGTGAAGGTTCCCAACCAGAAACAGTAGTCCTCCCGGTGTACAGAGACGAGGCCGGGTTAACCACAGCACAGGCCTCAGAATAGGCCTCTCCTCTTAGCGGCTGAGTCACTTCCCCTCCCCACCACTCTGCAGGGCTGCAGGGCACTGTCCAGGGTGAGCGCAGCCCTGCAATGCCCATGGCCCCACCAGAATGGACTCAACAGTTGAGGGACCCCAGATGGTGACTCTCCTTCTCCACCCTCCCTGCAGCTGGTGTGGTGTGGGGTCCAAGCACTGAGATGGCAGGTCCTCCACCCAACCCCTGGAGTGCATGGCCTGGAGGTTTCCTGCCTTTCATCCCCACTGCCCAACCAGGCCAGGCCTGTAACCCACCTCCCAGGCAGATGCTGCCCCGCATGGGCCCTGCTAATGCTGCTGCTCACTGGTGCTCAGATTGTGACTGGGAAGGGGGGATTAGGGTCCCATCTGTGCATATCCCCTGGACTATCAGGCCTCAGATTTGCACAATCCCAGCAGATTACTCTCTGCTAGCTCTGCAGGGCAGCTGGTGAGTGACACCCACATGTGAACTCCTCCCCAGCAGGAACCAGGGGCTGTGGTTTGCCCTGAGCCAACTGTCACGTGGGGGGTCCAGCCCCTCCTAGTAAGGTCTATAAATGTCCCCAGAAGTAGATGTATCACCCACTTCCCTGATGTTCCTCTGACGATGCTGTTACTGTTCCTGTTCCCCGTTGCCTTTCCCCTGCCCCCTGGGCTCAGGCTGGTGAGTACATGGGAACAGCCCTCCCCCGCCCCAGCCCCATAGAGAACAGAGCCTGGGTATGCTGGAGCTGTCTGCAAACCCTGGCTCCTCACTAGAGTCAGATGCTTCCACCAGGGCCATCGGTGTGTCCCCAGCACCCAGCTGAGATACCATGGGATTTCTGGGGGCATTGGTGCCTGCTCAGCACCCAGCTGGGGAGACTCAGAGCCGTGGGCTCTGGGGCGGTAATCGGTGTGTGCCCGGGACCCAGCTGGGGAGCTGTGGGGTCTGGGGGCAGGGAGCTAAAGGGGCAGGGGGAGCAGAGGGGGTTGATGCTATAATAGTAAATCCCCTGAGGCAGAGGTGACACAGTGACGCACAGTACACGTTGGTGTGAACAGCTGGCCCCTAGACAGGAAATGGAACTCTGTGTGGTTAGAGCGGAAGGCGGGGCTGGGAGCCAGGACTCCTAGGTTTAGCTTCCTGCTCAGGGAGGGCAGTGGGTTCTGGGGGCACTGAGGGCAGTGGTGGATTCTAGTGGTTGGGAGGGGGGCACTGGGCA